CTATCTATCTATCTATCTATCTATCTATCTATCTATCTATCTATCTATCTATCTATCTATCTATCTATCTAATCATCTATCATCATCTAAAAATAGACATGCCTCTGATAATATCCATCTAGAGATTGATATTCTGGACATTGTGGCAGATAAATTAGAACTGGCTGTTTTAATCTCATTGGATTCTGAAAAAGCTGCTGATATGGTTCTGATTGAATTTATGAAGTCCATTCTAAGAAGATAATGGATTTCCACCATCTTGGTCCATTGGTTACACATTGGCATCTTTATTCCATGGCTAGAGTAATTACAAATAGTTTTCTTTCCTGACCCATTAAGTTATACTGCCAAGGATGTTCCCTATCTTCTTTAATTTTTAATCTGGTTCTTGAAGCCTTCGCTTCTGTCATTAGACAATCTCAGGTGATCAGGGACATGGTGGCACTTGATACTGAATACAAATTATTTTTATATGCTGACAATATTATGGCTATTTTAGATAATTAATGATATTACTAAAGGAATATGTACAGCAATATATTTTGGTTATATTATTAATTGGAAAAAGTCCAATTTACTGCCTTTAGGATCTATAACATCTATAGAAGAAATTGGGATTTCCTTATAATCTTTTCTTTTCCTTTTTCTATTTTCTTTCTTACTTATTCACAATTCTTCTTTATTTTCTTTGTTTCCTTTCTAATATTTGTATTGCTTTTATCTTGTTAAAATTTGTTCAATAAAATTATATTAAAAAAAGAAGAAATTGGGATTTATAGTTTCCATAGATTATATAAAATACTTGGCTTAGTATTTTTCTATATCACAGCCTGTTGACTTAAGATCAATATAATTAAAATGAATATTACATCAAGACTAACGTATATTTCAAGAGGGATTCTAATGTTAATCCCTATTAGAGACCTTACATAGATAAATTAATGAGAAAATGTTTATCGCAAGCCAAAACTCCATGAATACATTTGATGAAATTGAGGTAAGGAAGGTAGCTACCTACCAGATTTTCAACTTGACCACTGGGCTTTTATTTTAACATCCGTGTGTAACACTTGGCAACTTTTAGAGTCTAAGTAAAGAAACAGGGATTTTTATTTCTAGCCTTGAAAGCTACTAGATATATTTGTTTAAATTTTGAACCAGAATCACATGAGAAATTAAAGTTGTGGAATAATCCAAGTTTGAAGACAATGGGAAGATGTTCTCCTGGAATGTCTGGGCTAAAGAATGGATCAATACCTTAAATCCTTTATAATGGTTGTTTTAAAGACTTTGAGAAATGGCAATCTGAATGATTTATCTATTATGTATGTTTGGCAATATATAGAATTGAAATATGCACTGTGTCTTTTGGCTTCACATACCTGTAAACATAACCAAAGCCTGTATACAATATGAGATAAAAGGGTCTATTTCATTACTCTTGTTATTTGACCACTTCTGAATTCATTGCATTTGTGGCAGATCAGTGCGTTTGCAAGACTTCCATTTCACTTCCTTTAAGAGGATCAATGTTTTAAAATGGCTCAAATGTATGATTATAGTTATTACTTGGCTATGTGCTGATGGTATTTTATTCCACTCTGTACCAGTGGATAAGAAGGTTATAAACAATGAACATTTTAAAAATGTTAACAGTTGAAAAGAGGATTTATGTGATATCTGCTTGTATTGTTCAATGACAGTCATGCTAAATCCAATTAAACTTCACAAGTGTTCAATTCTCCCATTATAGATTTAAGAAGATTATTCCCATTCCTGAGCAGAGCATGGTTCAGATGTTATGTTATCTCCTTGAATGCCTCCTCACCAAGGAGAATACCCCTCCAGACTGCCCTAAAGATCTCTATGAACTTTATTTTGTCTTTGCTGCTGTCTGGGCCTTTGGTGGTGCTCTGTTCCAAGACCAGGTAAGAAAATTGATTCCACAAAAAATGACATTCATTAATGTAGTTTCATATATTAATTTAGGCATTCAGTGAATTGGTTCACAGATCATATTTAGCCATGATTGGTTTATTATAAACCACAGACTCTCAGTTCATATTTAGCATTTGGTCATATTAAACCAAACAGAGGATGACTTAATATGATGCATGAAGCCAACCACTGGAAACCTGGTCCTTGTCTTCAAAATAGGGGTTCTAATCATATCACTTGACAAGAACAGCTTCTCACCTGACATAGACATATCTGATGTTGGAGAAAATGCAGTGATTCTTATGGAGAAACAAAAAGCATTCAGATGCACCCACTATGAGAATACTATTATAAAAGAAATATATGTAGTCATTTGGGGTCTAGTATTACTGAAACTCTGTTTGTGCCTACATATTCCCTCAAGAGGTTGTTTTTATCTCATCCTAGCAAGGCATTCCAAATCTAGATAACTATGACCCTATCATGCACTTGGAACTGCTAATAGCAATCTAATCAAAATATAATGGGGCTTTTGCTTTTGTTAAAGTCAAGTAGAGGTGACCTTGAATGCCACATACCACGGATTTTACACAAGAAATTCTTAAAATATTATAGATGAGGTAGCTGGAATGGAAGTCAGTGCATATTTTCCGGTGCTGGTACACATCATATGCTTGGTGCTATGAAATAGCCATCACCAGTTTAAATCTGCCTAGTTTATTATTCAGGGATTTTTAAAAAAAGAATGATCAGGATTGTCTATAAGCCCTATACAATATAAGTACATGTTCTATTTGTAACTGTCCTTAATAGCTCGCTAAAAAAGACAGAAAACTGAAAGCAAAATTTAAGCATTGATTCTCACAGTAGCTGATGGATACCAGTTATTTTCACGACCAGTGGGCGTGATTTCAGATGCACTATCCTAGGGGCTGCACATAGTTCTGGGAGGAAAGTTTTCTGCAAAGAAGTATTGTGGAAGAGTATTCTCTACTACAGAGAGGCCTACCATCTTGCCCATGTCTTCATGCACCTCACAAAGGGGGAATTTTCATAAGCTCTCTCTCAATGACTGGATCACACGAGCAGATTCAATTCTTCAGTTCTTACTTTGGAGACCTTATATAATGTTGGATTAGTTGCAGATATTATTTATTGTAGATACTCCTTTTTTCTTTGAGTTCCCCTATTATAAAATCTGAACCAATTCATTCTTGGATAGTGTCTAGCTGATGATGGCTGATCTCAACAAGCCTAAACAGGATTGGATTTGGTTAGTACTTGAGTGGGAGATGTTAAGAAAACCCAGGGCTGTAGGCTAAAATGAGAAAATACTGAGAAATATCCCAGAGGGAGGCATTGACAAACCACTTCTGTACAGTTGCCAAGAAAGCAACATTAATGTCACATGTAGTCACTAAGAATCAAGCCTGATTTTGGGGAGACTTTAAGGTATTGTATAAAATGTTTAGGTATTTCCAAGTCTGTGAACCACAACTAAATTTCCAACTCTTTCCTCTCACCTGCCTACTGGGAAAAAAAAAAGAAAGAAATACAGGCATCTTCTCATTGTTTTATTTGAGATCCTTTGCAATCAGGGAATTCTTTGTGGGAAGGGCAGCAAAAGGCTTGTTCCTTTCCATTCTGTTTTAATCCATGTGGGGGCACTGAAACTCTCCACTGATTTTCTTTCCCACAAGACAGCTCTTCATGATGCTTCTATAACAAGAAAAAGGAAGAGAGGGGGAAGGGGAAATCTCTTTCTATATTTCTGCATCTAAATTAGCCTTATTATTCAATTATTTATTTAATCCTATTTTTACCTGTTATTTAGTCATCAATTTATATTTCATATCATTAATGCAAGCCTGGAGTTTTCTCCTCGTTTTTGGGTTTATTTTCTCATGTTTTAATGACAAACGCTTGTACTAATTAGTATCTCAATTGCTCCAAAGTTTTCTTGCTTGTTTCGAGGAACTTTTTATAGGGAAGACGATTTTTTAAAAAAATTTAAAGAGTTTTGGAGAAACCTTAATGAATTAAACTAACTATTTTTATTCAATCACCTAAGCTATCATGGATCTCAACCCACTTAATCAGCTACATAACATGAAGTCCTGACAGACCTTTTTTGTGTGTACTCACAATTATAGCTGGGGGGGAGGGGAGGAAGTGGGGGGAAGGAGAGGGGTGAATAGTGGAAAAAAAGCAGTGTTGTTTTAGAAGCAGAGATATGTAATTGCAGAAAAAACAACATCAGTCTCATTGACACTGAGCATCCTTGTCAGATTTTTGTTGGAAAGCTTCAGCTAGTCTAGTGTTCCTTAAAGGCCAATAAGTCGTTTATTGTGATGGAATGGAATTATGAAGGCCAGGCTCAGAGAGATAAACATTTTCTTAGCTCG